GGCCCTTTCCATGAAAGAATATGGAGTTGTACTGTAGGTGCAAGCGCATGCGCGAGTTCGTCTGCACGGAGAGGTGGTAATACACTGTCTCTGGTGTGTATATAGCATTATTTAATATGTATACATCCATGTTATGTGATTTATATTTCATAATATTTTGCAATTGGGGGATATTGGAGGATTTGATATTTCGAACAGAAACCGGAAGTGATGTCACTTCCGAGATCGGATCTGATTGGTGTCTGATGGCCATCAGCTGTATGGAGGGATATTTAAATGGATTCTGGTAAGCAGTAATACAAACACTCTTGAGAAAGGCAGCCAGGAGGTGCCGAAACGTTGGGAGTTTAAGGGGCTCGTGTTTCTGCCAAGTTTTTGCCTTATTTTTTTTGTCACTTTAAATTTGATGTGGTCCTCCATTTGATATTGTGCTTTCTGTTTGTTGTAACCTGTTTTGGTTTAATAAAACTAATTAATGTGTATATCTTTGGAGTAGTCTAGTGTGCAATCTCTTTTTGTATTATATGAGTATTTGTTGGGCATTTAAGGGAGTGCTGTGGAGTATTGGCACCTAGCTATTGTTTATATTGTCTCTCCATACAGCAATGTTATAATAATGTGTATATATATATATTTATTTGCCAAAACATTCCCCAGCACTTTATAGTTATGTGAAATGAGCTTGGAATCTACATGGATTTGAGGTAAATGAATTTCCATCTTTAGGGTTAGTGAGCCGGTGTGACTCAACTCCAACCTGGGTTTACTGGTTCCAAGGCAGTAACTTTACCACTGCACGAACCAGTTGATATATTCTGGCATTCATACTATCTAATGATTGCTGCAGACCACATACACTCATTCGTGTTAAAGGTGCTCCTTGATGACAGTGGCCTCTTTCAGCAGGATAAGGCACCCTGCCATACTGCAAACTTATTGAGGAATGGTTTGAAGAACATGCCAAAGAGCTCAAGGTGTTGCCTTGGCTTCCAAATCCCCCAGATCTCAATCTGATTGATATGTGTGAGAACAATACATCCAATCCATGGAGGCTCCACCTCACAACTTGCAGGACATAAAG